CTGGTTTATTTTCTTCTATGGCAATATCTAGCCCTTGTTGAAAAAGGACATCAAGAACCTCAGTTTGCCACATCCCAAAATGTCCTGACCCGTAAAAAATTTCAACTGTAAATTTCGCATTTGACATAATTCTTGTTATAAGCGAAGATGCCAACGACGTATTACTGACACCCGATGTGGACTCTTCATTTTTATTATCTCTCATTTTGCTATAGATACAATTTATTTGCTAACAGTACAGAACACTAAAGTAATTCTTTTCTGATGTGGAAGTTCAGACTATGCTGCAATNGTATGGATACTTCTGTTCTCTTGCGAGGTAAGATCGAATGGTACCACAAGCAATACGGTTGATAATCTTCCAATCTCCTTCTCCGATATTGTCTGGTTTATTTTCTTCTATGGCAATATCTAGCCCTTGTTGAAAAAGGACATCAAGAACCTCAGTTTGCCACATCCCAAAATGTCCTGACCCGTAAAAAATTTCAACTGTAAATTTCGCATTTGACATAATTCTTGTTATAAGCGAAGATGCCAACGACGTATTACTGACACCCGATGTGGACTCTTCATTTTTATTATCTCTCATTTTGCTATAGATACAATTTATTTGCTAACAGTACAGAACACTAAAGTAATTCTTTTCTGATGTGGAAGTTCAGACTATGCTGCAATCACAGAGCATACTAAGATAGAACCTTGGCTCTGATACCAATTGTTGCGGAAGCCGAATATATAGAGAGTAATTAAATCACAACTATTATATCTAAAGGTAGCTAATAAATAGTAAATGAGACAATAATAAAATGAACACCAGAAATTAACGAGGTTCGGCAAAATTTAATTTTTGCCTAGTCCTCGGACACAATCAACTCGAATTTATTTCACTTCAAAATACAAGTGAAATACTACAAGAGAGAAAGAAGATTCAAATGCCTTAGGAGATAAGAAGGCAAGTGAGAGATGTTTACAAATGAACAAAAACCTTGCTATTTATAGAAGAGAAATGGCCTTAATAATGTCATGCATGACATCATATTAAGTGTGAACATGCAATATAAATGCATGAAAAATGCATCTACCAATTTCTTCCTAAAAGGAGGCTTCAAATGTTCACACTAGTTCACATTAATCTTGTCAAAATTCAACAATTTTATGCGCTTATGAATTTCAAAATAAAAACTCACACACCTCCTCAGGGCATTACCTATACTAATTCTTCCCCTATTGAATTCGAAGTTTGAAGAAGGAAGTTGTTCATACAATACGATTAGAACGTTCTCAAAAGTACATGAATTTTTACTCGAAAACACATGGGTTTGTGATATCATTTTAGTTGCTACGCTCATTTTTTTATCATTAATTTTTTCTTTTTAGCTTCTTATTTCTTAAGAAATAGCCAATATACCATTTGTAGATTGAATTAAAATTGAGAAGCAACATTGAACTTAATGTCTTCTAGTATCCAATATCTGAAATACTTACAAAAAAAAAAGTAATAAGTAAGATCAAATAAAATAGCACCTTTTGCTCGGACGAAGTCTTGATACGCCTTTCAGACAATTTATATTCCAAAAATATTGAAGCAAAATTAAGAAAAATAGTACCTTGATAGAACGAATTCTTGAGAATCCTTTTAGTCAACAACTAAACCTTGAAACTGCATTTATGTAAGTCATCCATTGTTTTGACAACTTCTACTTGCTAGTCTTCTTCTACTGAAACAAACAAAACAAAAAGAAAATACTGGGAGATTAATTAGGTAGGGAACAGGAAAGCCTCAAGTTTCATGCATAATATATATAGGCAGACGTAATTCCTGTATTTACATTGACATTGAATGTTATTGTATAGTAAGAGTCACACAATTTACGTTATAAATTCGGAATGAATATACCAAATTTATTATTCATTGAATTCAATCAATTGAATACTACGTTCATCCACAATGAAACGGTTACTTGATAAAAATTGATAGGCTTCTATGTAAGAGGAAGAAACCGTTAGGTTTCCTCAATAAGTGGGGTTGGTGCCTTTTCAATTAATAATGAGGTAAACAATTATTATAATAGAAGAAAAATCCCAAAAAAGAGAAAAAAGATAAATACAATAAAAGAGTAGACACCTCTTGTTGATCTTCATTTGCTCTTCGAGTTTCTTCACTATCAAATTATCATCCTTATGGATCTACATCTTCACTTTTATCATTCTTAACATATACTATTATCATTATCATATAGTAGTAATGGACCATAATTGTGGAATAGGGAAGGTTGTAACAGTCCGTAATATTCATTATATTGTTGGGACCATTTCTTTCATTAATGGGTGGATATTTATTGTATAAAGAAAATAGCACACAAATATGGAAAAAGAGATAAAAGCCCAAAAAAAAAAGGAAAAAATAGATAAATAGGATCCTTGGCCCAAGAGATGTACCAACTCATCTCCTATTGTCCAAACTTTATATATAAATATATATAGATTTATCTTTATTGTCATTCTTGTCCATAAAACTTCTAAGGACCAAGGTTGTTAAACTACATAACAAGCTCGAAAATGGCTTGAAATTAAGATGGTAGCACTATTACAATTTATGTAGGCAATATATACTTTAGCCTCATGTCATTCAAATTCAGTGCCTTAAAATACCTCTTTGAGCAGCGTTTGTACCTGACAATTAAAAACTAGTTGAGAAAAAAAAAAGTGAAATAAGGAAGATTAGTGGACAGCTTTGTTATCGTCAAATGACAATTTTTTAAGCGTGACAATCTTTTGCACCAGCAGTCTTCAGTCTTCACCACCCTCACCCCTAAAAGAGGCTGGCTGTCTTTCTTGGACTTATGCTGTCATCTTTAATGGATAAAATTATGAAGTCAACTTATCAGGGATAGCGTTGATGGTACCATTTATAAAAAATTAGTTTGCTCTTAATTAAGTGACTGAGTGCGTTTTTGCGAGTGTTTTGAGTATTTTCACAAAACAAAACATAAATAGAATAAAATAAAAATTTGGAAATAGTATCTTCATGTTTTACTCTTTCTTTCTCTCTTTTTTTTTACTCCTTGCATGCTCACACTATTTCAAATCATACTTTTTAGTCAATTCCAAAATAAATGACACATTTCTAAATTTAAAAATAATTCAACTTAAAACTTTTCATTTTATGTTTAATGAGAATCTTTTATAACTACATTAATATCATGGTCCCACAAAGATTTTACCCCTTAAACTTTTAAAACAACAAATCTCAAAAGTCTTTTTTTTTTCTTAAACTCTGTGCCGAGTCAAACTATCTCATCTAAATTGAAATGGAGAGAGTAATTATTACAGAAACAGTGAAACACCACCACAATTTGGTAGGCAAATTAAATACCCCATGCTATGTCAAATTTTAGTACTAGTAGAGATTAAAATTACATTAATCAGATGGCAAAAGTAACCAACAAAGTTAAACTTTGTCCATTCTGAATTACATCCCATGCATAACGAAATCAAAGCGCACGACATAAAGGTCCGAAAAACAGGACAGCGGAAAGCAGATCAGACTACATAGCATACCATCAATGAAGCTGTATGAGACTCAAGGAGAATATAGTTCACTCATGAAAACCTGTACGAATAAGAATATAATGTTACGTACTCTATTACGTAAGTTGTAACAAATAATTAGAAGTTGATGGACTGACCTACACGTTATTAAGGAAGCTGTATGCAGTTGCAATCAGAGATCAGGAGGATATATAGATAGCTTGAATCCGCTGCTTTTAATACCATTACCTTCCAAATTAGCTTGCTTGAGTTTCTTGGTTTGGATATCACGTGCACATTTTGCTGCTAATATGGTGGTGACGTTCAGTTCCATCACTTGGAGGCTGCGTACATCCGCCAGGCCAAGGGGAATTTCGGTAAGCTTTTCACAAGATACAAGAACCAGACGCTTCAGTCTAGGAAAGTTATCAGCTGAAGCATGCCAAGCAGCTAAATCTGTTCTCTGAATCCACAGGACCTGGAGGGAACAAAAACCACCAACTTTTGGCTCCCAGTACTCTCCCTTAAATGCATTTTCTTTCAGTTTTAGAACTTCAAGGTACTGCAATTGTCCAAGTATAGACATATCATGATCCCAGTCCAACCATGTATCTATTAACGTAAGCTTCCGCAACTTCCTTGGAAATATGTATGCTGGAGGAAGGCTTAGTGGTGTCCGGCCTACTTGACCAACATCATTAATCAACTTTAAACTTTCAAGGCACTCTAGCTTCTTAACATTGTTGAATAGTGCAGACTCGTTTGACTCAAGAAGCATACCTATTTTGCCACGAATGCCCAACTTCTTCATATTTGGAGCCCTCACAAACACATCTTCCGTGCAACTTTCAGGTGCAATTGTCGAAAGTGTTTGTAAGGCTTGGTTTACCAGGGCAGCTTTACTACTTTTTGGGGCACGTAATATAGCAGAAGCATTAGTGTGAAGATGCCTCAGTCGTGGCATGTTCAATATGTCTGCTTCAATGTCAAGAGTCCTCTGTTGTGTGTCAACAATAAGAGTCTGCATGTTCCAAAAGCCTCCAATTTGTCTAGGAATGATCTTGAGGGAGTCGCTTGAGAATGCTATATATCTCAAATGATATAGCTGGAAAAACTCCTTGGTAAAGCGATTAAATGTGAGGGATTCTACATCCAACACCCTTAGTAGAGGAAAAGCTTTCGGGATATTTGGAATATCTCTAGCAGGCATCTCCAATTTTTTTGATGGAAAGCTCAAGAATGACCTTACATGTTCACCAAAAGGTTTCGTAGAGATGAATTTTAATACAGAGGAATGAACGCACAAGCGACGGTATGTTGCTAGTTCTTGTTGTCCAAGAGCAGACTGCCTAATATCAAGACTTACTTCTTGGAAAAGGTTTTCCTCCATTGTCGCCTCATGCCTGCAAAATTCGTGCAACATATCATGAATACGGCATGTTTTAATTTGGCCATCAGAAGTTCTCTGCATTACCATCACCAAGTTTCTGTTGACAAGATCATTCAAGTAATCCTCTGCCTTACATTCAAGAGTTAAGCGTCCATTGTACTGAATGAAACCTTCCGCGATCCATAAACGGATCAGCTTCCAAGCAGGGATCTCAAAACCTTTAGGAAATGCACCACAATACAAGAAGCACGCCTTCAAGTCATAAGGCAAGCGATCATAACTCATTTGCACCAGCTTTTTACAATTCTCTGGGTCTTTATTTATGAGGTGCTCGCCAACACTTTGATCTACTTGTTCCCATTCTCTTGTTGTCTTACCCTTACCGATTAACGCCCCTGCAATCACCACAATTGCAAGTGGTAATCCCTTACATTTTTTGGCTATACTTAGTCCGTGTTGTTCCAACTCAGAAGGGCATTTATCCTTGTGGAATACCTTCTTTTCCAGCAACTCCCAACCTTCACTATCAGTTAAAAATTTCAACTTATGAGGATCATCATTGTAATGCTTAGCTACTATGTTATCTCGAGTGGTCAACAACACTCTATTACACTTGTTGTTGTTGGGGAAAGCAATTTTGAGACGATCCCAAGCTTCTCCAGACCATACATCATCCAAAACAATTAGATATTTTCCCCCCCTTCCCAAATAATCGCGTATTACTTGAGCCAAATCATCCTCAGACATATGAGAATATTGTGTAGTATTTCGCCTGAATTTACTAATAATGTTGAGAAATAAGTCCCTTCTCTTGTATGACTGTGAAACATAAACCCAAATGCGAGTGAAGAACTCAAACTCAACTGTAGCATCCTTGAATATCTTATTTGCCAGTGTCGTCTTTCCAAGACCTGGCATACCAACGATTGGAACAACCTTTAAATTGTCTGATCCTTCAAGAAGACGATCAATTACCTTCTTGGCCTCCTCGTCAAAGCCAACAACGTCATCTTCCTCAACCACAGGAAGCTTTTAAGAGAACATTGAATGGTCAGAATATTAGATTTAAGAAGACAAATAACACTGACAACTAATAAAAGTTACTGTGCTTTATAACTAAGGAGGACATATGCTTCTGTCTTTAGAAACTTCAAAAATAAATGTGTAACAGTAATGGATTCTTAATTGAGATCGAACAGTCTGACAATTGTGACATTTCTAAATGCATAGTTAAGTCAGACAATGTTTATGTAACTAGCTTCAAAGAATTGGTTAAAGTCATGTGATTGACACGTTGTTTAAAAGATTGCCAATATGCAGGTTTTATAGGTCCTCTTCCTATATTATCGATCGAGTTCGTACCCGCTAGCTTTTTCGCTCTCCTATGCGAATTACTTTTTCGAAATATTATGAATTTAAAAGTTTCACTAATTATTTCTTTTCATTGTGTACTTCCATTTACTTTTCCTCTGTGCATGCATTATTGGTTTCAAAGAGCATGAAATATGTTTCTTAGGAGCGCGAGTTATAGTTTTTACAGCATGAATTAATTGACAAGAGCCCAAAATGTTCAATGAACTTCATAGTTGGACTTAAAATTTGTTTCTATAATAAAATTATCTTGTTTCTAAATAATAGTTAATTGGATGATCTTTATTGGAATAACTTCTATAGCTAAGGGGGAAAGTGCAAGTGTACTTCTACTCTTTTTTTCTTTTTTTTTTTTGTTCTTTTTTTCTGTCATGCTACTAAATAAAAATCGACAGACCAACATATTTTCACCTCTCGTTCTTAACTAGAAAGATTCATGTAATAGCATGTAATACACCCCTATCCCGAGTATGCTTCAACTATCATTGAAGTAATGCGTTAAAAACCGCAATGAAAATTGAGTAATCTGGGAACGACATCTTTTCATTTTAGTTTTTTCACAAGAAAAAAACATACTATTTCCTAGAATTATAACGGCACAATAATCGTTAGTTTTGAGATTGGAAACGTTAATCATATGAATTTGCATCAAATCTTTATGCTCGGACTTGAGACAAGTGGAGATCTAACTCTAATTGTATTTTCTCAAAATCTCACGCCTTCTATGTGTTCTACTTCTAAAATGCATGAAAGGCATTTAAAGTGTTTTGTAGCCTTGTGCATGCAGGTTTGAGCATGTGATTCCGTCGCTAAGTTATGAAAATTGTCAACTGTTATGTTAACGTTTGATGGAACTTTATGTTTTATGACGTTACTTGGACTTCAAAAGTGATCTTCTATATTTTGTAATTATGATTATTTTTAAATTTTAAAATATTTATATTTAAATGAAAAGGTTTATATTATGATGACTCGAGGTTGTATGATTATGTGAAGTTATGTTTTCGGAAGCTTTCTATAGGCGTTTGAGCTGGGGGTTCACCTTTGTTGGCTTGAGTAAGTTTTGCTTTGACGATTTACAAAGAACACTTGCATCAATTAGGTTCATACACAGTGTACACAGGGCACGGACAGACACATGAAGGAGATACGCACAAGTGGTTATATATATGATATCTCCTGAACGAAAAGATTACATAATCGATAAGGAGCAGGACTCCCTACTTGAAGAGAACTCTATCCTAGATAAGGGAGGAGTTAGAAGTTAAAGATAACTAAAACTCTTCCACCAAGGAAGAGTAAAGCATTAGAACTCTAGTTATTTCTTATTCTACTAACTCTATAAATATCAGTGGTGTTCACTTCTACAGGTGACACGCATACGTTGAAGTTAAGCAAGAATTGAGAGCTAAATAGCAAGGCAAAATGCAAGTAATTTTTGTATGTTTTAAGTGTGCGAACCTGAAGCTACATAAACCACATAGAAGAACTAGTTCCAAGTGTCTGTCTTTTATTCTAGTTCAATTGTAGTACGGCTTTTGAGTTGTACCTTTCAGTTTTCTCTAGAATAATTTGTACTAGGTACTTTGAGTTACGTTATTCAAGTTAGAATTAACTTGAAGTTCTCGCAACAGCCTGAGGCTGGTTGCCGCAAAGGGTTAGAGGTAATACTTAGGTTTACAAGAGTTTTGTAAATGATGTTTTTGGCTCAGTGATTTAGTGGAGTGTTGGAAACATCCTACTGAAAAGTAGGTCGTAATTTTTTTACCTTTTTCACCGGGTATTTTACACGTAAAAATACTTGTGTTTTTATTTTCTGCGTTTATTATTTCGCAATTATAGTGTAAGGAACACGTAGAAGAATCAGGTCTTTCTACAATCTGTTCACGCGAAAAATTGGACACCGCACAAATAACCTCTTCTTCCTCTTGTATGGCATTGAAGCATAAAACATGAACTTTTCTTTGAAAGAGGGCCTTTATCCTGGAACTACACATGTAGATGTGATTGGTACCGGTACGGCCTTGTTAGTTGGATACCCACGTGGTGGATACCCATGCAGTTTATTTGATGCCATGAAATTGGCTTTGACGTATGCTTATGTTACTACTATGGGCGCATTCCCCTTACAGCTATACTATAGTAGGTCAGTCTCACAGACGTCATTTATTGTTACATAGTTATGTAAGTACGCTCCCAACCCACGTAATCTCGAACCACCCAATGGGAGATCTACATCTAATACTAACATGAAAGCTGTTGTTATAAGCAAATTCTATGAGTGGCAAATGTTCATCCCAGCTACTCTTGAAATCAAGAACACAAGCACGCAACATGTTCTCAAGTGTCTAAATAGTCCGCTCTTCCTGCCCGTCGTTATGTGGATGGAAGGTTGTACTAAGATTCACCGGAGTACCCGAACCTTGCTGAAATTTCTTCCAAAAATTTATCGTGAACTGAGCTCCTCGATCAGAGATGATAGAAACTGTAGTGCCATGCAGCCTGACTATTTCCTTGATATAAAACTGAGCATATTGTTCCGCTGTGTCGGTAGATTTAACTGGCAAGAAGTGCGCTGATTTCGTGAGTCGATCCACAATCACCCAAATTGAGTCAAATTTGCGCGGAGTATGCGGTAGTCCTACCATAAAATCCATATTAATCATTTTCCATTTCCACATTGAAATTTTTATGTTCTGTGCCAACCCACCAGGGCGTTGGTGTTCGGCCTTTACAGGGCTAGTGCGTAGGGTTCAGGAGTACCCAGCCGTTTCTATGCTACGAGTGGTCGCCAGAGTGCAGAGGCTTCTCCAGAAGTTGTCACAGGTATATTGACTGTTCAATCTCATGATATATATGCTCTTACTGATCCCGGTTCCACCTTGTCCTATGTTACCCCTATGTTGCTATGGAATTTGGGATAGAACTGGAACAGCTTCTTGAGCCGTTCTCTGTATCTACTCTGGTTGGCGAGTCTATTGTAGCCGCACGGGTTTATAGGGGTTGTGTTGTCATGGTCGGGACACTGTGGCCGATCTCATTAAATTGGGGATGGTCGATTTTGATGCAATTATGGGAATGGATTGGCTTTACTCATGCTTTTCCAAACTCGATTGCCGAACTAGAACTGTGAGGTTTGAATTTCCAAATGAGCCAGTTGCTGAATGGAAGAGGGATAATGCGATGCCTAGGTTTATTTCATACCTTAAGGCCACGAAGATGATTAATAAAGGGTGTATCTATCATTTGGTCCGGGTTATGAATACCGATGCTGAGGCACCTACACTCGAGTTTGTACCAGTGGTGAATGAATTTCCGGAGATCTTTCCTGATGAGCTCCTGTAGATTGATTTTGGGATTGATGTGATACTAGGCACGCAGCCTATATCTATTCTGCCCTACAGGATGGCACCAACAGAATTGAAGGACCTAAAGGAACAATTGAAGGATTTGTTAGAGAAGAGTTTCATCCGACCGAATGTGTCACCCTGGGGCGCACCGATTCTCTTTGTGAGGAAGAAAGATGGATCACTGAGGATGTGTATTGACTACCGGCATCTCAACAAAGTCACAATCAAAAACAAGTACCCATTACCAAGAATAAATGATTTGTTTGATTAGTTACATGGTACTAGGTACTTATCCAAAATTGATTTACGGTCCGGGTACCACCAATTGAAGATCAGGGAGCGGGATATTCCGAAAATAACTTTCAGGACCCGGTATGGGCACTTTGAATTTCTGGTAATGTCTTTTGGGCTAACAAATGCCCTTGCAGCTTTCATGGATCTTATGAATCGGGTTTTCAACACTTTTCTTTATTCTTTTGTGATGGTATTCATTGACGATATTCTTGTGTATTCACGAGGTCGAGAGGATCATGTCGATCATCTCAGGGCAGTTTTGCAGACTCTTCATCAGCACCAATTATACGCGAAATTTTCAAAATGTGAATTTTGGCTCGAATCTGTCACATCCTTGGGTTATGTTGTCTCTAGAAAAGGAATTAAGGTTGATCCTCAAAAGATTGCAGCGGTGAAAAATTGGCCTAGACCTACAACATCAATCGAGATTCGCAGTTTCTTGGGCTTAGCAGGGTAGTACAGGAAGTTTGTGGTGGGGTTCTCTACTCTTGCCTCTCCGTTGACTAATTGACTCAGAAAGCGGTTAAGTTCCAATGGTCCAATAATCATAAGTTGGCTCTTGATTTTAACCAATAATCATAAGTTGGTTGTTCTAGTTCCCACATTGCCGGAGTGGAGATATGGTTTTGTGTTGGGTATTTTCCTATTAGATATTAGGGACTACCACTGTCTCAAAAGAAGTGGAAAAAAATAGATTGCCATCAGCTTATAATGAAGAAAACATCAAAAATCAGATCGGTATCTACTAGGTATTTGTCCTATGCTGGCAGACTACTGATAATAAATTTTGAATAGTTCTGTTTGCATAACTTTTGGGGTTCAATTTGTATACTACCGTAGAGTGTACTAGCAGTAGTTGATAAACATTGGAAGAATTTATTCTAGGGATGCTCTGATGAAAAGGGGAAGGAAGCATTGATAGATAGGAGAAGCTGTCAATATTAGGAATTGTAGAATGTGAAACTTTGCTCTTGTTGGGAAACTAATTTGGCTGCTAGCAGGAAAAAAAAAAGG